AGTGTGTGTACAACAGTGCCTGAAGGGACAGCATAGCCACCATAGATAAGGAACTGATGTAGCAGTCAGGAAGCTTGGCATTTGCTTCAGTCATTATTAATTCTTTGTGAAACTTCAGGTCACTTATTTCTCCATGGACATGGACACCTTTACCACTTAAACTGGTTTAAATCAGTTTAAAAGTGAAGCAGCCAGACATACAAGCCTGTTAAAGCAGTTTAATGCTGCCTGGAACAGTTCACAAGCATACCAGGAAAGCCAAGTACTATTTTGAACCGGTGCCTTGTGAACTGGTTTGGTGTTACCTTTGGAAACCGAGTGTTTTATGACACGGGCTTGGTCAGTCCTCCGGGCATCCCACGCTTCAGCATTTCTCTCTGCTCCCTTCTCCCTTCGTGGCCCACTTCTGCAAGTGGCACCTCTGGCATGCAGTCAGAACTCATGTTCCCTACGCACACATCCACCTTTCACCACCTTTTGCTAGCATTTGTTAAATTAATGAGCTCCCTCACAGTGCTTGTTCTGTAAAGCCATTTAACAACCAGCTGTGTCCTCAATCCTTATTTGACAGGGGCCCCCATCATCTCCCTCCTCCCCCCTGGAAATTCGGAAGCACGGATCCAAGAACTACCCCTTCCCAGGCACTCCAATCAGGCAAACACACAGCAGACTTTGGTGAACTTCAGGCTATCAAAGTTTACTGAATTTGTGTTTAGGAGAGAAGGGAAAGCAGAAAAGCGAAAAAGCCCAAGCCCCAGGCCACCCCCATCCATCCCAGGATCCCCAAAGCACGAGTGCAAGCACTCCCTCCCACCCGCCCTTGCCTATAATGAGGCCCACTGGCCTCGGTGCTCACTCCCACTGTGCGGTGTCAGAACAGCAGCATTGCACACACCATCGTGAACAGGTTCCCAAACAGTGACATTTGGGAATTGTTCAATTTTTAAGTGCATCTGCACCCTAGGTCCCAGCTCCTCCCCTGCAGAAGGAAGCACTAAGCGTATCTTAAGAACTCTTTTGTGAGGCTATAGCAGCTCTAGGACTTACGAGTGGGAGGGAGAACTGGAGAGGGATTGTATTGAATAGGAATTTGTATTCAGTTTTGAAAGCAGTGCTCCCTCCTCTCCCACCTCCTGATATTTAGGAAGGCACACCACTGGTATTTAGGATGCACTGCAAATTTGGGCAGGATGGAATTATATGGATGCATTGAGAGATGTTTGAGGGAGTCAGTTAGGCAAGGCAGGACATGTCTTTGGTTTCTGTGGATTTTTTTCTTCTATAAAATATCCTGGATCTGGGACAGATGCTTTGAATGACAGAGAGGGCTGCACAGGTCTGGGAAACCAGTTGCGAGGCAGGATTCTGGGTTAAAAGATTTAAGACCTTTTCAGCATCATAAATTCTCCCAGAACTCATGTTTACCCAATGCCAAAACAGTCTGATATATAGCAAACCTCTTAGGACAACTTCATATTCTGCCTAAGAGTTTTCAATGCAATTTGGGATAATTCCCCATATGCTACTCAACTTGTCTGCCTTTTTAAAGCATCACTGCAAAAAAAATCAACTCTTCAACCTGTGTGTGAAGCAGTGTGTAATACAGCATATACAATTCCAAAATACTAAAGTCCCATCTGTTTCAACCATATATCCAATGTACTGATGAGTTTTTTAAAAACACCCTTGTGTTTTAATGTTACCACCTGCAAGGGCTGACCAGTTTGTATTTGCTACTCAGGAAAGAGGTTGAAATTGTATAAGCTCAGGTGAGGTCATTTTTTAACTAATCAACCGCTTTCCATTTAGCATGGGGATATGCAAGTGGGCACTGATCTGCAGACATTATACTATTTAGCCAGCTTCTTTACAACTTGGGTTCAGAGGGCAATTAAAAAAAAAAAAGAATTATACTAAGGAACCCAACCCTAGGGAACATGGGGGTCACAGGATTGCCAGATGTGGTCTGTATCCCATCCTAATGTACCCCCTTCTTCCTGCAGATACACTCCCCCTTTATTAGCACTCGCCATTATCTATCTTAAGATGGCCCTCTCTTCCCTGCAGGAAAACATGCTCAGTTCTCTCTCATCTGTTCCAGGTGCTCCTTATAAAAAGTACTGCAAGTTTTGAGTAAAAGGCATGAGTATATAACCCCTGTATATCCCTCCCTGTATAACCACTGGCCAGCCTCTACTATTGGCCTCAGCCAATTCATGGTCTCTAAACAGAAGTCTGCCGTGTTTAAGATGAACTTAACATTACACATCTTGGAGGCTTCCTTTCCACATTACCACACTTTTGAATCAAAACGGATTTCCCCCCCACCCCGATCAACACTACTCATGGGGGTATGAAGCTGGAAATACACTGCCAAGGTATATATATGGGTGCCAAGGAACTGATATCCTTCCAACAGACAGAGTGCTCATGTCATACTTCCTACATGGCAGGATCCAGATGAGTGCTGGTACAGCTGCACTGTATACATTCAAATATAACTTCCTAAAACAACTTAAGGGACTGTGAAATCTGGTCTGTGTTCCAAGCAGGTGCAGTATCTGAACCTTCTTTGAGTGCCTGTGCTGATTTCAGTTTCCATGCTATTTTTCTATTTTATCTAGTGTTTTCCTCTGCTCTGCTGCTGTGTGAAGGGCCCCTATCATCAAAGTAGATGGGGTTTACAGTAGAATCAGTGGAACTGACTGCACAAGGTAAAGCAAACACAGAAATGTGTATTCCCACCCAGTCTTTCAGTCAAGTCTAAACCATGTTTTCTTGCAGGCACCTTTTCCGCACAAAAATTGACCCCCAAAATTGAGGTGCATGTATTAAATCAGGGCAGCTGATTTTTTTTGCCCAAGACAGAAGCACCTTGCTTTGATCCCTGCTTTGCAGTGCAGCACCTCTGGTATTACTCTTCAGGCAGCTGATGGAGTCAATGGCCCATTGTTCTTCACAGGTGTTAAAGATCATCTCTCCTTTCCAATGGTCTTGACCTTCCACTGATGAAGCTAACCTTTCTTAGGGGAAGTTTACTGTCTGCTAGTGTTTTTGGTCTTGTCTCCTATTTCACAGTTCTTGAACTCTTTTCAAGATCAGAAATCCATCCATAGAGACCAGTTTTCAGCAGCAGCTAAGCAGGAAAGGGAGGGCAGTCAGTTGAAGATTAGCCCCCGTCCCTGCTCTCTCTCACTGTAAGGAAAATTTTATTTTATTTATAATGCCTTTCAAAAATAAAGTGCATATGATATTTGGGGTATGTTATATTGCGAGAAAAATACAGCATTAACATATCAATTGTCTTAACATTTTCTAGATAGACTGTTTCTCTTTAAAGAAGAAAACTTATTTCAGCCCTTCATACTATGAACACTGATACTGCATTTCTCTCAGTCTGATCAATAAAAAACAGGATGGCTGGTTTCACTTATTTCTGGTTAGTTGTATTCTAGCTATTTGTCCTAGCACAATGTTGCAATTATAAGCAGATAAAAGTTTCTATGTAAACACATTATTTTAAAGTTATCCTCAGAAAGCCACTCCTAATGATTTTAAGTTTTCTGAACATAAAACCTGCATTTTGGGCCTCTGTGAGAGAGTGGAAGAAGAGCTGGGTGAGGGACCAGGGTCACTGGAAGGGAGAATACTCACCGCAGGTGGACCGGAGTGATGGGAGACACCCGCTGCTCCCTCTGGATTGGCAGAGGGAACCCACAGAAAGGCATTTCTGGTCCCAGAGCAGGATGGCAGGGGAGGGATGCCAACAAGCCCGGTGATGGGACATGCTGGGCTTCAGCAGCTGATGGGATCCCAAGTCCTCCAGTAGGTGGACAAAAGGAGCCTGTTAAATCAGAGGTGGCTGAAGGACCACAGTCAGGAACCTGACGAAGGAGTACTGGGGAACAGCAAGGATCTAGCAAGCAGAAGACAGATGTAGTGAAGACTGTGCCAGGCCAGACCACAGTAAGAAGCTGGCGTGACTGGGAGTGAAGTAAGAGCCCTAACCTGGGCGGAGACAATCAGAGGGCTGTGGATGATGCAGCCTCTCCTTCCTTTTGTGTTACTGGGTGTTGTTTTCATTTTGATAAGCTTCTCTCTACTGTGCCGGGGAAGGGAGCAGAGAGCCCCAAATGGAAGAAGGCCTGTGATTCTGGTGTGCAAACTGGGTGTGAGACCAAGTGTCTGTTGAACAGAGACTGATTTAATTCACGTGGATTACCGCAAGGGTGCCTGTTATATTTATTCAAAATAAACAACTGATTTGACCCCAGGAAGTGTTATGTAGGCGATTACCTGATGAGCTGTATATGGACTGGTTCGGAGAAAGAGTGCTCTATGAGCAGAGGTAACCTGACTTGTGTTATTGATTAAGAGACTTTTATTTGACTCCATATAAACTGATCTAGGATGTGGGCACTAGAAATCATGGATTAGTCAATTCGCATTGCAAATTAAGGAACTCGTTAATGAGCTGATATAATGAGAGAGTGGGTCAATCTTGCTGTGTGTGAATTAATCTAAGCTGGTAGCCTAGTGGCACCTGAATAAACTTGAATTCTTTTGGGATATAACCATTGTCCTTCCTCTGGCTAGCGAACAGCTGCAGGGATTGCGATGGTTCAGTGAAAAACCTAGGTCAAAGACACTTACCATCTTGCATGGTATGGAAAGGGTGGAGTGTAAGGGGAGGAGGAGCCCCACAAGAGCTCCCGGAAGGGCTCAGAGCGATTGTTGGCCTTTCTGACTCCAACTCCCAACTAGATTTGAAGCATCATCAAGACCTGGTGGGCGAGGGCAGAACATCTGAGATAGAGGATAGCAACAATCCCTGACTATTCCCCCAGATGGCACACTCAAGTAGAACATCCAGAAGGCAAGGCCCCCAACCCTACAGTATAACATCTCGACAGCCTCAACTGCCTATTAGTTCAAAGAAATATACAATCAGTAGAAGAAATAACTAAACACAGCATGACTGCATATAAACCATCATCAAATGTTGTCAAGCAAAAATAGTCTTTATTCAAATTTTATGGAAACAGGGATCACTTTACTTTGCAAGACGGGGGAAAAAAAATAAAATAAAAAAAATTTAATATAAAACAAGGATATTGTCACAATACCAGAATATGGAACTCTACTTTCCCCCACCCCCATGGATTACTGAAGGTATCTATTTTCCTGACTGTGCTATTCACACCTCTGTAAGTCCAAAAATATGAAACAAAAAGTAGTATGAAACTTAAGACTTAGCACTTTCACTAAATGGCAAACATCAAAGGGCACCAAATCAAGGGCAAAGATTGCTGAAGTCACCATACCTACCTATCAGTCATCATTCCAACCTCATCAACCAATCGAAGTACAGTGCAGCTTCTCTGTAAGGCTGTTCTTGGAAAACAAGGCAATTTTGGTGGTCTAGGAAGAATGGTGTTATAAAGGGGGAATCTTTCTACAGGATAGCAAATGAGCTGCTTAGCCTTGCACCAGAAAGCATTACAGAGAGGGAGCACTGTATTAAACAATTATAGACACACCATTAGGATAGTTAAAAATGTACAGCATTGACATGTGTTCTACTTCAATCACTTGTGCTACAACTACCAAACATGTACAAAAGACGTCTCATATAGTTCCAGGTGTGGTTGCAGCAAACTTAGGACCTTGAGCGAGATCTTGATCTAGATCGGGAGGGTGATCTAGAGGGAGACCTAGATCTAGACTTGGACCGGGACCTGGTTTTGGAAATAGATTTTGATCTGGAGCGAGATTCTGATTTGACATTTAGTTTAGACTTAGAATTTGACCGAGACCTGGACCGAGATTCACGACTTGCGTGCATGTCCTCACTCTCGCTTTTTACCTCCTTTTTGTCAGATTCTGGTTTTAGATGCTCCTTGTCCTTGGACTCCGATCTGGATCTAGACCTGGACCGCTCATGGTCTTCCTTCTTTTTCTTCTTGCTACTAGATTTGCTGTCTCGCTTGCTGTGCCTTTTGCTCCTCTCGCTTTTGCTGCGGCTCCTGCTTCTACTCCTGCTGTCGTCTCTGCTCCTCTTCCTTCCTTTCCTCTTGTCCTTACTCCTGCTACGACTCCTGCTCCTGCTCTCATCTCTGCTCTTGCTTTTGCTCCTGCTTCTAGCCTTACTGATGCTCTTCTCCCTCTCTTTACTCCTACTCTTCTCCTTACTCCTACTCTTCCTCATGCTTGTCCTCTCCTCTTCCTCTGTTCTCTCTTTGCTCCCACTCCTGCTCCTACTTTTGCTCTTACTCTTTTCCTTGCTGGGGCTCCTGCTCTTTGCTTTCTCATCGTTGTTGTGAACAGCACTCTCTGCTTTGTCTTTACTTTTATTCCGGGTTTTCTCTGCGCTCCGGCTGCGGCTCCTACTTTTATCATCTTTGCTTGGACTCCTGCTTTTGTCCTTTTGACCTCTGCTACGGCTCTTGCTTCGACTACGGCTCTTGCTTCTGGAACGGGACACAGACCTGTAAAAGCACAAACGGATGGCCACGCATTAGTCTTTTCTATGTGGTTTAAGGCTGGTTTGCCTTGAATTGTAGTATGCAGATAAAAAATAAGTATGAGAAAGGAGCGCCAATGCTGCAGAGCTAGGTCAGTGCCTCTTATATTTAAACAAGTGCCCCACTTTCACCCACAACGAAGGTGATAATGTACCTGGATCTTGATCTACTCTTGGAGCGACTGCTTTTGCTACTGACGCTGCGGCTCCTGCTCTTACGAGAGCGTCTGCTTCGAGAGCGAGACCTGAAACAAAAGGAAATGGGTTAACATTGGGTCACTACAAAACCACAAAAGGAGAAGCCTCTTTGATTTGGGGTGAGTAAGAAGCCCCAGCCTTAAAGAAACAGTGGTTGCAATGTCTTCAGCCATTTCTACTCCATATTTCAGAAAGCTAGCAGAATGCTTTACAGAATAAAAGTTGTTGACATTCCTAAAGTGCCCATCTTCATAACACTAACTACATAAATACATTCATTCCCACCTGTAGGAAATGTTACATCTCTGAGGATGAACAGGCTGTCATTCTGAGAAGCATGTCTTTAGGAATGGGAAGAGAAAATGACTCTCCAAATGAACATGGAGAAATTCTGCATGGAGTGAATACTGTTACCCAAGACAGCTTAGCCAGGACAAGATGCCTCCCTTCCTTCAACAAGAGATGCTATGGGACTGATGACCAGTAAAATCTGTGTATTGTGGGCCTCTCAGGATAGGTGGGCTAGAATTAGACATATCCCCACATCTAACTGCAATTAGATTAGAACATAGAGCCTCAGCTGTATTACGAACAAACGTACCTCGAATGGCTTCGACTTCTGGAATAGGAGCGGCGCCGTCTTGACCCAGGTCTGTCTTCTACTAACCTAATCTTTCTGCCATTTACTTCTGTCCCATCCAGCTTTTCAAGGGCTCTTTTCATATCAGAATAGGATTTGAACTCAATCACACCTTCATTTTTTCTGCCTTTATGTGCATCTGCATATGTCACTTCACCTGCCTGACGCATATAATCCTAGGAGGAGAGGACAAAGGAAAGAAAAAAAACAATGTCTAAGAATTCACATATTTAAGCTGATCGTTTATTCTGCCTGCCCACTCTTAAGTGCAGAAACATTTGTTCATTTGAAGTCAGAGAAAAAAGAAGAAGAAGAATTCACATCCACACCATCTTAGTTTTAATTAAAGGTTCAAGTCACACTGGTAGTTTTATCCATAGAGTGCTGACTGGCAGGCTCATATTGAAGTTCCTGAGCAAGCTAACAACTGCTGTGTAATTTTAGCGCTAGAACTAGTGAAAGGTGACTGGCTTAGAGGTCTGTAACAAAACAAGGATCATACAGGCAGTGACAGTACCTACTTTTCTTCAGCTACAGCTTAGACAGTGTACCTGCTCACCTGTGGTAAACTCAGTCTCTCAACTCATTCACCCCCTGGCCTCTCAGCTTCAGCTGCTCAACACAGTATTTGGTTTTGTGACTCATGCAACTGGTTATCAGGAAGAGATATTACTCTGCCCAAAGCAAGCTGGCCGACAGGGGAAACTTTCATGCAGTACTAACTTAGGCTGCAATAGGGGCTGTATGTACAAATGAGAGGTTTATGGTTCATTCCTACGGCAAGAGCAACTCAAAAAAGAACCCCACTGAATCCAGCACAGCATTGACCAGTGCATGCTCCGTTTAAGGCAGACAAGGTTCCTTGGGTGAATTTGATATCTTTTATTAGACCAACCCAAATGGTTGGAGAATAGTTATTAAGCAAGCTTTCGGGTTCAAAAACCCTTCGTCAGGCTCAGGAAGCTGCAGCAGTCGGTGTGTGCTCTTCCTGGATGGGATGAAAGGTAAAGAAGCCTGACGAAGGGTTTTTGAACCCGAAAGCTTGCTTAATAACTATTCTCCAACCATTTGGGTTGGTCTAATAAAAGATATCAAATTCACCCAAGGAACCTTGTCTGCCTATATCCTTAGACCAACACGGCTACAACCTAAACCCCTGCTCCGTTTAAAGCATTTGATACCAGATATCCGAAACATTTACAAATTAAAACAATAAAAATGCTTAAAGGTTGTTAGTATCCATTTGAACTACAACTACACAATCTGTTCTGGACAGGCTTGTAAGAGAAAAAAAAAAGGCTTGTGTGGAACAGGAGGCAGTTTCGTGATGATGTTTACGTCTAAACTTTACTGTCTCGTTCCAAGAATTATCCTAATTTTAAAAAACAAGGACATTGAGGCAAAGGGGTCAAGTAATTTGTTCGACCCCTTTGCCTCAAGGCTAACAGGGTGCCCATGAAAGAGTCAAAGCTCAACCCAGATTTGAGTCAGTCCTACATGAAGACTCCTCAGCCATACTTCTGATACACTGGCAAAGCTCTCAACAGTTATTAAGGTACAACATGAAAAAGTAAGTATTTTATAACCATGCTTAAAGCTGTATTAAAGACATACTCTCCCCCATGTTTCTCATGTAACTGGGACGACTGGTGATTGGCAGCTTACAAAGAAACTTTATAAAGAGCACTTATATGACTGAGGGCAAGGGAGGAAAGACAAAGAGAGAAGACACTTGGCACATGCTAATCACAGCCATATGTACCATGGCCTATTCTGCGCGTTTCCATAAGAGTCATTTCCCCAAGGAGAGGCTCTCTCTGTCCCCAAGCATTTTCTTTTCGACTGTTACTTTGTATGACTTCTCTTACCGTGCAAGAGAATTCATCTCAGAGTTTCTTTAAAAATGGCCGAGTTGTTAAAAGAGTAAAAATACAGTTTTTTGGCTAAGATAGCTCTAGCTCCTCCAATGTAGAGGAGACTGAAGTCATAGGAACATAACTCACAGATGCATCTTTCCTCAGTCAGAGTTGACTCTGCAGCAGTTTAGAGACGAGACTTTTTTCTAAATACATCTTAAGGCATGTTAATTGACCTTTATTAAATGATAAAATGAATATTCTCCAACTGGTCCACTAACAGCATGCATGTATACAGATTTAGATGTAGTAGGTATTTCCACTGAGTGCATGACACCTCAGGATCCTGTACAAAATACAGGTTTTGAAGAACGGACTATTTCGTAAGTGTTGTTCTCTAATGGGCACATATTATACATGTTAAAACGAGAATTTCTGAAGTAGTCAAATATTTACAGCGCAGGAGGTTTAAGAGACTCATCATGGAGCGATCCTTTAAAACGCAAGGCTGGGTTAGTGTCAGGGTAACAGCCTGGACAAGCTTTCGTTAACCCCAGTAGAGCCAAGCCATTTGCTCAGCCAAGATGAAGAAAGGGGTCCCATACCTTCAGGTCTTGCCAACTGCAACGGCTTGACAGATTTTCCACAATCAATCTGTACTCTGTACGGGTAGGAGGACCGTACTTATCTCTTCCACTTCTTCTATAACCATATCCACCTTTAGGAGGTGACAAGCAGACAGCAATACTTCAGCTAGGGAAATGGAGTGGCTTAGTTTACACCCCAGACAAAAACTCCTCTGCCCAATATACCAGCAAATACATTTAATCTTCACCCCACCCACTAGTCTAAACTACATTCTCCTTGTTTAAAATATAAAATTACAGAGATAAAACATTAAAAAAAATATATAACTACAATACTTGCACATAATTACAAGATGTATAATCATATAGTTACAATTAAAAATTAACATGCAATTAAATTTAAGTTATTAAAAATTTGTTTAAATAAATTTTGAAACAAGAAACCAAATCACTAAAGCCAGTTTACTAATGTTACTTACATTGATTAAAGGTTTTCTGAATATCTGACATGAATAAAGATTTTCAGGCACCTATTTCAGTTTAATCTCATCTGTCTCTAACCCTTGGGATCCTCACCACCCAGGTCTAATGGGAAAAGGTTGCGGTCGTCACATGGCTTCCTTTTTTGGTCAGCCAAGGGCCACAAAGGTCAAAGAGCCACTCATGGAAAGGTAACCCAAGGTCAGCAAATGGAACAGGCAGTCATCTTAGCCTCAAAGGACTCTTTTAATTAAAACATTGAGGTCTTTGTTAAGTCTATGTTAAACAATCACATTACAAATAAACCATTCAAATATTTAAATAAAAATAACAACATCAATAAATGGTACAAGAAATTGCATTCATTCATTTATCAGTTAATTAAATTAAAATATTTTATATACAATTAACAAATAGATACATATTCAGATCAATATTTACATTTACAATTACAAAAGCAAAATAGTCAAACTTCATATCATTATCTTTTAAAAAATTACTTTTCTTTTTAAGTAAATATTTTATAAAAAAAAAGTCACTGAGATACAAATGCATTTTAGTGCTTACTGCGTCCAGAACCATAACTGCTGTCACGACGTGGGCCCCTGGCATGTTCAACAATTACTCGCTCTCCACAAAGGTCTTTGCCGTTTAGCTCATAAACGGCATCATCTGCATCACGCAGATCATCAAACTCAACAAAGCCATACCTAGGAGGAGACAGAGACTGTTCAGGAAAAAACTACACCCACCCAAGGTGTCTATTTATCAACAGCAACTCACATCAGAGTAGGAACTTCCACTGCCAACGAAGCTTGGGACTCGGTTACCTTGAAGCAATACTTCTCTCTCTCTCTCTTCCCTCCTCCCTTCCTTCTCCACCATTCAAACCTTTGTTGGCCACCAGTGGCCAATTCCTGAAGACTTCAGGTCAGGGTCCCAGCCCAAGGATCCTACTCCTCAGTTTGTCGGTCTACAAGGTAGAAGAGGGCTTAGACATCAGCGTTTTACTCATTGTTCTACTTGACTTAAGGAATTTCTCGATACCTCGGTACATCCACGTTTGACACTGAAATATTACTCCACCTTGTGTTTGGAAGCTGCTTGTGTTCCTTCCTCAGAAAATGCCAAAAGAGGGCAAAATATGAATGGATGCCAGGGAAGGGGTTTATCAGGAAGGGTGACCGATTTCACTCTTCACTGTGGGCAGTACTGATGTGTTTGAGTAAGAAAAAGGACTATGTATGCCTGGTCCTATTGGTAAAGAACAAGTTTCTAGATAGTCTTGTGTTAAGGAGCTTCCTGGATAATACTGAATAAAATATAACACTTGAGGATGCAATCCTATCCATATTGGTCATGCTGAAATCCCATGCTCTGAAACTATGAAGTCTGTGTGCAGGGTCCCTACAGGATTGGCCACTCACCACTGTTACATTCACAATTAAAAGACTTTGTCAACAGCTTTAGATTTAGAGCTTGCAAAATGCCCACACAGAAGAGCTTCATACATGCATAATAGCACTGTGATCACGGAGCTCTCCACAGGCATGGCAATCTGCTGGTCAGAGCAGATTGCAGCCAGGGCTGTAGTTTGCATAGCAAAAAATGCTGTGCCTGCTTTGCTAACTGCTCTGAAAACACAAATAGGGAAAATGCAAGTTAGAGGAAGCCAATAAGAACATATATTTTAGAAATAGGCCTTACATTTGAGTGGGCATTTTTGGCATTCCAGTCAACTTGCCCAAGGTCACACAGCAGTGCTGGGAACTCACACCTCCTAGATCCCAAAACTAACTGTGCAGCGATTTTATAAATACACAAATAATTTAAAATTAGACAGGTAAACCCCAATTATCCAAATGAATAGGGGAGGGGTGGAAGAGGGGACAGCATCAGAAACTGCTGACGACTTGGGTGCAGATAACAAGAGTTTACCCCGCTTCACTTACCCTGCCACGACCCAAGTTCAGGCGTCCTAGTCTCCCCTGCAAGAGCTGATGATACCACAGCCCTGTGCAGCACCCCAGGGAGCCCCGTTTCAGCTGGTTGCAACATCTCTGGCTGCTGTAGGGCAAACAGAATCCTGAACTCAGGTCTTAGCAGGCAAGTAAAAAAGGAGGAAATGATTTTCAGACATTTGATTTTCAAATTTGTGTATAATTGTAATTCAAAGTCTCATCTCTTCTCTTAGGTCATTTCATTTTTAAACACTTTCACTTCCTCCTTGAATGCCCTAGTCACCAAGAAAACTACTACATAAACTTTAAATATTTAATCAAAATGTTTAAACATGAAATTTCTCATCCAGGTATTGCAAATAAATAATCATTGTAGCTACTTCTTCATGCAAGTGTGGGTAGTCTTTTAATAGTGAAGCAAGTGTGACTTTGAGCTATGAATTCTGAATTACTTACTCACAGTCAATCTACCAACAAAATAGTTCACATCTAATCTTGCCCTATGCCTCGTCTGCCAAAATAAAGCAACTATCTCCTTATCTTTATACAGATCTCAAATGCTTTGTAATACTGTATTTGTAATAATGACTTCACTCCTAGATATTAAAGTATTTCCTATGTGCCAGCAACCCCACAGGAAGGTTTTAAAACAAAAAAAGGACAATAAATGTATTTTATTGACGCCTTCAGGATAAGGCTTAGGAAGCTAAGCAAGATTCGGCCAGAACAGCAGATTAAGAAGCCTCCTCTTTCAAAGAGCACACCAGGAACCGTTAGTGAGGTGTACTTAAGCACTCCATGTTACATATCAGCAAAAACAGGACTGCACCAGCAGCCCAGCACTGCATGGCACCAGGTTCAGCTACTGAGAAGCTAGTCATCTGTAAAGATATACAAATACCACCTCCTACAAAATGCTGGTTTTCTTTGAAGGGCTCCAATGCAAGTGCAGGGCAAATCCTGCTCAGCTGCTCCCTCCAAGGCAAGCAGGCTTTTAATAATTGCTCTCTATGGCTAAGTGAAAAGGAGATCAACAGCATAACATGCGAGTAACCCTAGAATTAAAAAAAGTATATAAATGACAGAAAAGGAGAATATAAATAGAAGTAATCAATTGCAGGAAGGAATTTTCTAGGTGTTTATAAAAATGGTAAGGAAAAAATGTATGCAGCATACGCTATAGAAAATAGGTGATTGCTTTCAAGTCATACTACACACAGCCCAGAGATAATAAGTAATATTGATCCACACCTCCCTTAAATATACTTCCCATCTTAAAGTTTAAACAACATGAATTAAGATCCCTTAGAAGGATAGTTTAACACCACAAGAAACCGCAAGTGCTGACAAAGCCTTCTCCAAAGCAATCTGAACCTGCTGTTATATGGTGGTAGTGCAAGTAAATCTTCTTTTAAGTGTCTACTGTTATTACTTTAGATGTGGCATAAAACTACTTACTAAAAATGTCAATGCAATTTACTTCAGATAATGTGAAGCTACATCATTTTGCTGTCCATGTATCAAAAAAGGAAAAAATGGCAAGAGCACATATCCTTATTTCTAAGCAATTCCAGTCGATTGAACCACCTAAAGAATCTTTTTATCAAAGATGAAGGGAAATGGGATTTTTAAAAATTGTTTAAGGTCCCAAATAATAAAGGGCAGCTGAGTCAGTCACACTCCTTCCTATGCAGGGCTTTGAGGTAATGGATTCATACCAGCTGGCTGCATATACTCCCCTCTACTTGCCAAGATATTCAGAGCTAGTAAGGTTCACTTCTATGGCACACAAGGTGCTACCAAGTTTTCCTGCTGCTCCTATGGGGACAGTGCTATAGCCTTGAACAAGCTGAGCTATGCCAGTTCTAAAGCATGAATCAAATGCTTGAGCAGTGTCAGTCTAAAGCAAGGCTGAATATGTCTACTATTTCTTGTAGCTTACTGACTTACTCTGCAATATTTACTTACTGCCAGTGTGCGTTCCCGATTTAAGGTTTGATTCTAATGAGATGCTGAATGGAACAAGACACTTGGCTGCAGTATCGTCTTCCTGTCTTCTCCAGGACGTGGGGCAGTTTACTCAGACCAACCTGGGCTCTGAGATCACCCTAGGATTCTGTGGAGGCATTGCTTAAGGCAGCGTTTCCCAAACTTCGGGGGTTTATGCCCCAACACAGTAAAATTGGCCACTCTCACATCTCTACTTCAGCCACCAGATTTGACACTGTGGCATTTACACGATTTGCACACATGATGCTTTGCCCTCAGTTATGCTTCCCCGTCCCAGGCACCTTTCCTGCCCCTGCACACGCCCCACAGTGTAGGAAACACTGGCCTAAGGAGATTCAAAACTGTAGTAGAAAAAAGGTCACCTGAGCTAAGTACCGTGCTGAATATAACTCGCCCCATGGCTCCTGGAAGCCCTTCACTGGGACAGAGGAAGGCAGGACAGGGTGGCACCTTGCCAACTAAATTGTTCAAATTCCAGAGACTACAGCCTGCTTTGTCAGATGCTCTGAACAGGGAAAGAAGATTCAGGTCGATTATCAGCATTTTTGTCTGAGGCCTAGAATCAATTTGTTTTGGTTAAGACATCCTTGATGTTACTTTCTACATGTGATTTTTTAAGTTAATTCAGTGAATTCAAACTACCATATTTACTGGAATCCAAGACAAGTGGCTTTCCCCCCACCATTTAATATGGGGGGGGGAAAAGCCTTGCCTTGAATCTAGGTACCAGCTTGGGGCAGGCTGCTGCTGTGGCTCCAGCGGCAGCTCTGAACCTGACCCAGGCACAGGCACAGAGTTGGAGCTGCCACCTACCACAGGCTGGGGCTGGAGTCACCATGTGCTCTGTGCCCTGGGCCAGAGTTGGAGCATACAGTAAGTGCAGCACAGTGTGAGTGTGAGTGTATGCACATGCGGGGGGGGAGTGGACAGACTAGGGCAATTGACCAAGGGGAAAAAGCAGCAGGGAGATAGGCACTAGGTGGGCAAGCACCAGGGAGCACATGCACAGGGGGAGGAGGCTGTAAGGGGGACACAGGACTAAGGGCAGAGGTCAGGCTACAGCAGTGGGAAGGGGACTGGAAGGAATTTAAGACAACCTTCCAGTCCTTAGATTCTATATATTTGAAAGTTATAACAAATTTATAATTTCCCATGTATAGAATCCAATTACTGGGGAGGGGACATCTTAAATTTGGGTAAATACAGGAATAAGCAATCTAGCAAGGACATTTTTTCTTTATTGTAACAGCCTAGATAGCAAAAGCGCGTTAAAAAATAGTTTCCCTTATAATCTTCATTTGTCCATAACTGAAATTCTGTTTCTACTGAAACAAAGAAGTTTTGGGAAAATCTGGAAAGGAAAAAAGGCACACACTGTTCTGCTTTCCTCAAGAAGCATCTCCTATTATCTTTCATTGTATGGAGTTAAATGTCCCTCTCCCTCCCTCCCTCTCCCTGCTAAGTTAGATGCTGAGACTGCAGTTAAAATAGTGAAAGGAAAAGTAACAGTCTTATCAATGATAAGCAGAGATTGGTATTCCAGATAGAGTGGCCAAAAGATAGGAAAGGAGTAGGGTGACCATATTATTTTTAAGGAAATCTGGGACCCCCAGGCCAGCCCACCACTAGCTGCTGCTCAGGAGGAGCTGGGCTGGGCAATACGGGCAAGTTGGCGCCAGTCTGGGACTTTTCTTTTCATATTCACCAACCAGCAGGGATGGCCTATGACATCCAGGACTGTCCCTACCATATGGTCACCCTACAAAAGAGGTTCTTTGTTAAACTATTGTCTCCTGTTCATTCTGGGAAGTGCTCCTCTGCTGATTTGATCTATGCTGCTGTAAAAATAGACATGCCTCTCATTTTAGATGAAGGCAAAAATTAGGACCCCAGGAAGCAGGCTGCAGGAAAAAACAGACACTAAGCACTAGGGCCTAAACATTTAAGGCCTAAACATTTTACAGGTTTCAAAACACCCACTTAACTTCCTGCCAGCCTCCTAGCTTTGATTGGATACTAACCACAAATCATCCAAGAGCAGTTTACTCCAAATCTCCAGCATGGTGATGGAAGGGAAAGTGGTATC